TGCAACTTTAAGGTGCATACCGCCACCTACTGTACTCGCCATGAAGTTGTTTGCGGCCTGCCAGTAAACCCAAAGCAGAAGAAGAAGAAGTGACGTCAGCGGCTCATTTGCCTAATCCACCCCCAGGAACTCATTTTGGTGTGAACGCGATCTGCTTTAGTTCATCAGAACTAAAAGAGCTCTCATGAACTAAAGTTCTCATGAACTACTGTGGGAAAAGTACTTGGTGTGAACGCCCCTATTGTTACATTATTGGTATCTGCACTGCAGTGGGAAGTGATGCTTGGAAAATGTGGTCTGGTAAATGGTGTGAAAAGTGTTGACCCTGTTTGAGGTCAATTGAGAAACAGAGAAATGTGTTGGGCTTCACAAACAGAAAAGTGTTGTTAAAAGGAAGGAAGAGAACCGAGTTGGCCACAAGCCGAGTTGGGAAAGAGACTTCTTAAGCATCTGCTGAGTCACTTTTACTTTTAGTCATGTTCTGCAATTGTACTCTTTGAAATGTAGAATGTAACACTGACAATACGGGTGAAGAAGCCAATTTGGACATGCAAACAGAAATGGATATATATTCCTGGCATCTCTAAAGTAAACACTTACATTTATACTTACAACACTTGCAATACACGTATTATATGAATTTCTGAATCTGAAAAAATACATCCCAAAGCTAAAGTTCACTAAAGAGTTTGGACACTTTGGAGAAAACTATTTCACAAACGCCCATCAGTGTGGATGTACTCAGTGAGTGAGCACAGCAACAACACTGGGGAATAAAAACATGAGGAAATAGTTTTGTGCTCTTTATTGTTTCCAGCTGTCCGCTTGCTCGGCTGGAGAAGAGAAGTTGACACGATAAAGAGACAGTCTATCCTGATCATTCCTTCACAGTCCAACTTGTTTTTTATAACTCTATGTTGTTACTTACGCTTTACCAAGAAAGTTAAAAGGAGCATATCAGATTTCCACTCATTGAATATGTAATCCAATGCTTCATGCTTGGCTACAAAACTGGCACACCACTCCACAAACACAAAGCCACTACATGAATGAATGAAGGAGGGGCAGAGTATGCAAGTTTGAGATATTTAACAATTAAGTGTATGAAATGACAATTTAATTAAATATTAAAGTTAAATCACATATACAATGCACTAAATGTCACAGTAAATAAATAAAATGATATATGTAAATGCATCACATTCACATCACAAATACACACGCAGGCCTGGACTGCTGTACATGCACACGAAACAACTGATCTGCAAAACCTCTATCAGCACAACGTTATATGACGTGCTGCTGTGAGCTCAAAGATTTTACAAATGTAAAATGATTAACTACCAACCTTGACTTTGGTGTTGCCTTTACATAACATGCATGAAGAGATGCACAGATTTTGTGAAGCAATGCAACCGACAATTAACACGAGACCAACGAGGTGGAGCAGACAGAATGATGCAACGTAAGATTTAATATGCAAAACTACCTGCATATTACAACTCATTCAGATAGGTAGTGTTTCAGAATAATGGCTTGGGTGTGTACTGTTTGACAGGCTATTACAACAATCTCATAATGATTGTGTCATTATCACAGTTAGGCTGGAATGAACAAGTGTTTAGTAAGTTAAGGTGGTAAATATAATGGGTCACATCATGAAGGTCATAGTCTTTATGGAGGCTAAAATCTGGCACTGCAGGCATAACTTGATTGAAGAAGTTATATTTTAAGAAATACATTCATTTTTAGAATGCTATTCCTACCAGTATAGAAGTGCTTTAGCTTTAGTCAGTTTAACTAATGTTAAAGAGATACCTTTATTCCCACAATGTGTATTAATGTAGAAATAGTTTTTGTATATGTGCAATATATACATACCCTAAGACAACATATATGAATTACAAATGTGCTATATTTTATGAAATACATGCATTGTACACGGTCCCTGTTTTTGCTCATCTCCGACACCCAATCACGTGACTTCCAAGATTTTCGTTTTGAAAGCCTACTCAGTAAATATTATTAAACTTAGAGTGGAGAGACTGAGTTTTTAAATGTTTCCTCCTCCCCCGCATCTCTTATCAAGGGTATATTATCAGGATGTCCACCAGCTGTCTGTCTCTACGTTCTTAAAATGAACCGCTGCTTCCACAAACCCGAGCGTGCAACGTGTCTGCAGTGTGACGCAATATCAACTCACTACTGACTGTGAACGGATGAGGGGGTTTTTTTAAGGTTAAAAGAGGGAAAGTAAAGCAAATAAGCGAGAGGATTGACTCCTGCTCACTTCCTGGTTAGACAATCTGTACACCAACTCTGTATGTTATACCGTGATGTGTTTTGCAGTTAAAAGGGTGATGTATACGTTTCAAAAAGGAAGCCTCAGATGGTCAATACTGTAAGTTTACATTAGGTTTCAAGCTATATTCACGCCTGCCTGATATATTAAAAAAAAACAAAGAAGCACAAAAAGGCTCTAATGCGAGTAAAATCAACCATGAAGATTCAAAATTCAGAACAGCAAGTCGTTTTCGCAAGTATTTTAGATTCAAATCAGCCAGACCATTTTAAGTGCTAGTGCATTAGCTTCAAGTTAGCCAAAAGTTTAAAGTGCTAGTGCATTAGCGAGTTGGAGCACTACCTTCAAATAAACCAAAACAATTTGAGTACTACAATATTACAGCAGTTGAGTCATCATTAAAACATTTCACAAGTCCCATATTCTGCCAAATACAAGACTCAAATTAGTGGAAATCTCTAAACCAACAGAGGTGTAACTGTTATCTCATTACGCTAATTCAAGCGTTAGCATAGCAATGTCAGTTACACAGCCGTTTAAAAACCGTTAGGGAAGAATATTCATAATACAAACTCACCAGGTCGAAGAGAACATGTTGGTGTCTTGTGAAGAGGAAACACACGATGTCAGACAGGAGTAGAATCACAAAACACTTAATTAATCCCAATACAGGGGGGGGGGCAACTTCAAATTGAAGTCAAGATAAACAAAAGGTTGCGCGGGAATTCTTCCTCGTTAATTAACAGGTGCTGCCACTGAGCAGCGGTGAGCTCAGTGCTGCCCCTGGTGGCCGGAAACAGAACAATACATGTATTGACATACATATATATATATGTTTCGACAACGACAGAGGCAACTGTTGCTTTGACTGCAGAGCAAAAAATAAAACCATGTAAAAGCTTATAAATATTTTTTAAGTAGCCTATTGCAAAAATCTACAAACATAAACAAAGAATATAAGAAAAATTCAACAAAATATGAGAATTATTTCATTTTGGGAAGAGGGCTTGAATTAATAAAAAATTGGTCACTAAAAATATGAAGGAATACTACAACACTACTACAACAAATATGTACAAGAAACATAAATATAGAATAGAAGAGACAGACAATAAAAACATATTCAAATACTATGAAAAGGTACACAATATCTGAATTATAAAAGAAAAGCAGCGCAGTTTTAGAAATGGTAGTTTTAGACAGAAAATGAAAACTTCTCCAATAATTGAGCAAAGGTTCACAATATGAACATTAAAAGAATATGCAATGTAAAGAGACACAGTCCAAAAGACGTGCATTACTGTAACATAGGCAGACATAATTGTATCTAATTTCCAATACCACCAATATAACAAGTAACTATAGCTTTTAGATAAGTGAGTGGAGTAAAAAGTACAATATTTGCCTCTGATAGTGGAGTAGAAGTATAAAGTAGGATAGTAAGCAAATGGATATGCTTAAGAAAAGTATCTCAATATTGTACTAATTATTGGGAGATGTAGGCCTGGGTCAAATGTTATTGTACAGTGCAATGTGTTGTGCATGTGGTGATAATTCAAGATTCAACTGTGTATTGTCATAACATATACACAGCTATGGTGTAATTATGTAATGTATGAAAAACTTAGATAGCAGGTTCCTCAACAGTGCAATTTACAAGACATCAACAAATACATGTAAAAAAACAACAATACAAATAAATTAGTGCAAGCTCAGGTGTTAAATAGTCTTATGGCCTGTGGGATGAAACTGTCCCTGAGTCTGGTGGTTTTTGTAATACTTTGTATATTGTAATTTAACCTGTCAAAACAATGTTGTACAGAATAATTATAATATTTGTCCCCTTTGAATTATAAATATAAAGATGTGTTGAAATTGAAACACAATTATAGGAGGCTAAAGGTTCCCTTAATGTGTCCTTAAGTACAGTATAATAAAAAATAGATGCTATAAGTTAAATTGCACAATATATTGTCATACCTTTGCATCTTAAAATCTATTTATCAAAAGAGTTATCACTACGATGAACAGCATTTAATTTACTCTCTGTTCTTGTTTATCTTACTCGATTCACATGTTTATAGACTCCTGCATTTACTTGGTCACCTACAACATTCTCTGCATTATTAGCTTATTGTATTTATTTATTTTCCTGACAAGTATATAGTTTACTTGGACATTGGTCTTGCAACAAAATCTGCACTATAATATTCTAATTTCTTTATATTTTTTTAGGTGTTTGATTGTTTTATGTCCTAAATGACGAAGTTGCAATGTTGTAGGAGCTTGGGATTTAAGATTTCCATTGCCATTTCTACACTGTAGCTACTGTGCATATGACAATAAAGCCTTTGAATCCTTGAACTCTACGCATGCGCAGACTGATTACCCTTCCCTTTGGCTCTTCCGTGAACACTGCAGTTTTGCAGAGTGTGACAACTATCTTGCTCTCACGTATATCACCTTTGATCCAGGTGACCCAAATCATTTATTCGGTTAACGATTACGCGTGTGTGATTAAAACCCGAAACGTTTCTGTACCTTTAGTCTCGTGGGAAGGTGAACGTGTCGCCACAGCATACATTTGATTATACGGTAACGCTGTTGCTATGCTACATACATTTAGCAGCGTGCAAACTACCTAAACTATTACAAAATCAATCGTTGTGAGAAGCAGAAATAAAACGTGCAGACTTACCAGCGGATCCTCCCGCTATAATCTGATGAGACGCTTCACGGAGCAAGCTCTGCGGCTTCTTGGTTGTCATTGTTAACGTTTCCTACCAAAACAAACAAACCCGTTATTGAGCCAGTTATCTCTGCTTGTATCGTATCGTGAGTTAGTACACCGTGTTATATCGCTATTACAACATGTTTCACACGACCTACCCGTGTTTCCTGCTCTTATGAGGCGGCTGTGTTGTGTCTTGACTTGCTCTTGCAGCCCACGCTGGAGAAAGCGCAGCAGTGCCAGTGATATCTCTCCGAGGCTCTCAGGCTAGGCTAGGCTAATATGGAATCAATTACCAAGCAAAAAAACAAACTGCTGCATCACATTCACCCTCCCATCGCCTCAAGTATTTTTGAAAAGTGTAAATAAACAATGAATAAAACCCCTACTGACCCTTTCTAGATCAGTATCGCAGAAAAGTATTTTTTATTAAAGTGTCCATTTATCTTTTACAGTGGCAACCTTACTCCAATGTTTACTTTGCACATTATTTAATGTAATTCATCCGTTTCTTTTGGGGACTTTTTTCCAATTTTTTTGCAAGGGTCTAAGGTCAGAGGCTGTTAGATGCTGTATGTGTTATTTCATTTCTGATATTGGGCTATATCAAAAACATTTTAATGATTAATATAGGAATCTGAATTAGCCAATTAGGTTTACATGTACAATGAATTAGCTTTGGTGTAAAATTGTGAATGCATGAACACACTTAAGAGAAATTAAGATGTAAAATATAGAGCAAATATACAGTAGCATTACAAAAACGTTTGCAAGAAAAATATAAATACAAAAAGGAAATGTAGAATAAATTACACATTGCTTATGAAACACTACTGTTTAAAATATATATAAATAATGTAGGTGATATTCAAACAGTGTGCAGGTTATAGCTAACAGTTTACAGTATCGGTGTAAAAGGGGAGTTAACTCTTCCTGTTCCAGCAGGTTCCACATAAAATGAAACGTGCTTCCGTTAAAACATGAAACTCCACCCAAAATCTTTCTTTTGAGAATCACGCAAAAAAAAAACATTACCCCTGCAGTGCACCATGTGAACTGTGTGTCTCATATAAGGGTTATTTAATTATGGAAGGATATTTTTTATGAATCTGTTTATTTCTTAGTTTAGAAAATAGTGTAAAATGCCTTCAAGAGCCCAACATGGTGAAATTGATCATTACAAACGAGAGAGAAGTAGCAAGTAAACAGTTTTTAATTTTTGTAAGAAATTGAACCAGGAAAAATCTTTAAATCTGTACATAATATTGACTTTTTCTTGCCAGATGAACTAAATAATCATTGTTAAAATCACTATGGTAAATAAACTAATCAATGTATAGTTTTGGATTATAATGAGGCTGTGGTCAGCTCGACTTCGGCCCAATCTTTTTAGAGCCAATCGTGCAGGAGCTAATTCAGTTGTTGACACAGAAGATGGATTTTGTCCCTTTGAGAAAAGAGTGTAACCTGGATAAATAATGCAAAGCCACAACTAGTGTCAACATGCAATTTATACAACATTGATAGACAATAGAGATCTGATAGCACGTGTTAAACAAAATGAAAAATTACAAGCGTCTGACTGCTATTCACCCTTGAATAAACTACAGGCCTCCTAACATAAACCACATATCACTGTCTCCCTTCTCAACCCAGGTTATGTAATGTGAATATCATGTTTTACATTACTGATACTGTAGCGGTCAATGTTGTGTTAGATCAGATAGGAAGGAAGCATGAATGTCACCTTATAGATTTACAGATATGTCTCTATACAAGTTTAAATCACACCTTTACACAAAGCACTCTTCACTACTTACACATGTCACATCACTCACTTGTTATGTAACAGGGATGTTTCAGTAGATTTTTGAGCTGTTTATAGTTAACTTTAGAAAGGAATTGAATAAAGGGATAATTAAAGAGGTCCTTCACCTGCAGTAAGACATTTAAGACAGATTTTATTTGAGAGCTTTAACATTATCATGTTGGTAAATCAGTCCTAAGATTATAAAGACATCATGCCATCACTAAGTGAGAGTGAGTTCGTACAGGATTTGAGGTCAAAATTAAAGTTAAGATGAACATTTAAGTAAATTAACATATTATAGTCAATCTCCAGAAATGTAATGTTTTCAAATAAAAATGACAAATCTACTGGCCCTTGTCTCTCACATAAAGTGTTTCTGTTTAACTGAAGAGACTCAAACTGCAGGGACTATATTGTCCATATTTAAGTCAGGTCCAGCCCAGATACTTATAGAGCACATTTAAAAAGAACACGTTGACCAAAGAACTTTACAAAGAGAATTAATATCACACATGAATGATCAAAAACAGACATTATAAAGAAAAGAAAAGCTAAATAAAAAAGCAGAAAATCGTAAAAATATATAAATAGAAAGATATAAATAAAACAGAAAAAACAATGTAAAAAATTGAATAAAAAATAAAACAATAGTTTTGGTCATAGGTCTTCATGGTGATAGTTCGAGGCTAAAGAGAAGAAATAGAAATAGAAATTCATATACAATAATTAACAGACGAATCAATAATTGAATGAATTGTTGGATGCAGCCCTAAAAGTGTTACAACCATTTGGACGGCGCAATCACATGCTCATAAGAGAGAACACAAGGCGTTTCATGATTTAAAATAAGTCTTAAAGTTCTGAAATACACCCCTCGTCTAATAAATAAAAAAATATTGTTTTTAAAATCATGCTGCTTTCTTAATTCATAAAACCTGCATTATGCCCATCTGTCCAGCAACACTGGCATATTTTACATTAAATTCATTTAGATTTAGACTCGTATAAAGCGTGTGGCCTCAGCCATAATGCACCACGGAAAAGTTATTTTCTTTTTTGATGAGCAATGAAAGCAAGCAGACATTCAGCAGTGAAGCTTATAACAAGCATTTCATTTTGTGTCAGAGCTGCTTTGGAACAACAAGAGCTCAGACGAGCTATAAAAAGTGAGATTTACTGCATATATTTGGCAGGAAAATGCCATTACCACTTTGACCCCCTCGGATAAGAAAAAGCAGAACAGCTTCCACACCAAGAAAAAACCCTGGACTGCAGTAAAACAGCCGAGTGGAGGCTGAGCAACACACAGAGTTTATGGAAGTGTTGGATGAGAGCGTTTTAGTAACATAGAAATAGTGTTCTTTTCCAAGAGGAGTTTCGTTACTGTCAAGTGAGTCGTGCGTTTCCTGATTGGATTATACTTTAGTATCAGAATGAGTTTATTGAGGGACAGACAAAGAGTGCTTTCTTAAGAATTTCAAGTTTTGACGTGCCTTACAAATGTTGCAACACTTTTTGTTGTTTCTGAAAAGCATGCTCACCCCCAAAATAAATAATAGATATAACAGCACAGTGATCATGTCACAATCTTATGAAGGACCCAAATGCAGCACTCGAGAAACCAAGGAGTATTGGTAGAGAGGGAGCAGAGGGATACAGGAGCAATTTGGGGTGAAGTGTCTTGCCCAGGGACACAACGACATGCTGACTGCAGTGGGGTTTGAACCTGTGACCCCCTGATCCGAACTCCAACGCACAACCCACTGCGCCACACGCCTTACAAGAGTCAGAACTAAACATGGAGAAGCAGCATTTAGTTTTCATGCCCCGACCATCTGGAACTCCCTGAATCCTGCAGGTCAGCTGCAACTGTTAATACTTTTAAATCGAGATTAAAAACGTATCTTTTTCGCCACAGCATTTGGATGAGTTGTTCAAATTCAAACTGCAGTATGGATTTTATCCATGTATTTTATACCTGTTGGGTTTATTTGATTATCTTTGCTTTTTAAATGCCTGTTTTGAAATGCCTTTTTATAATGTGCTTCCACTGTATTTATTCTTAAATGTCTTTTATTTTATTTTGTAAAGCACTTTGGGTTGCCGTGTGCTGAAAGGTGCTGTATAAATAAACTTGCCTTGCACGTTGAGCTGCACCATGAAAAGTGCTATACAAATACAGATTATTATTATTTAACATGTTATAAAATACAAATATACTCTATATACATACACTTTATATAATAGTAAAAGTATACATAAAGTATACATTATACTGATTATGCAGTATTAATGATTTTAAACTAACTTTAATTAAAAACGTCAAAATTAAACTACATTTTTCATGCTTACAGTAACAGTGGAACATAGTTTATTTTATTGAACAATAATTTAAATATTAAATGAAATGTTGCATTATAGTTAACTTCTGACTCACAGAATGGTATTATTTGAAACAGATGAATAACCATGATATTGATTTAAATAAAGTCTAACAGCATGTGAGGTGCTCTATACTGTAGGTCACATGTGTCAAACTCAAGGCCCGGGGTCCAAATCAGGCCCTTGGTGGATTTAATTTCGGCCCGCAGGATAATTTCTAATTACTATTAGATCTGGCCCGCCGGTATATTGCACGCACACCTTCACTCAATCCTGAGGATCTCCTCAGCTCAGAGCCTGACCCCAAACATTGATGAACTTGCACCCGAGATGAGATGCCAAGTATCTGGCTTGAACTAGCATCACAGAGCAGCACACTGAGTTTACATGGATGTTTCCTTCTGCACTTTTTCTCTCACGACAACAGGGCATGTTTGTTTTTTTCTTTGAGGGAAATAGTTTTTTTGAAGATGTTGTTGGCCTGTGGAAAAATGTAATCATAAGAAATGACTGAGGAAAAGCTGCAGATAGAGCCATAAGAAATGAATGCTACTGATTATTTAATGTTTAATGTTGTTTTTATAGGCAATAATTTAAGCTTTGTTAGTTCCAGGTTTAATATGTGCAATAAGTTCATTTCAATATGTTTTGCAATAAACATTGAACCAGTCCGGTCCTCGACTAGTATGGATTTGTTTATTTTGGCCCACTGTGTACTTGAGTTTGACACCCCTGCTGTAGGTGAAGGTATACTGAAGATCCCTTTCAGTTGTAATGTGTTTATGTAAGTACTTACCTTCCACACTGTGAGGTAAAAAACATGTTCAATTAAGACACAAGTGCAAGTAGGGTAAAATACCTAAATGAAAACAATCAAACATATTGTACCGTTTATTTTTTTCCCACACACTCAAACATAAAGACACCATCTTTCAAACATTGTGACACATCGCAGTACAGACACAGTCACAAACATACTCTGCTCTTAAATTACTCGACATAAAGGAAGCTGAACCTTTCCCAAAATATTCATGTGACAAAAACATGTGTACCCTACAAAGCAAAAGCCAAAAACATGTTTGAAATACAAATAAATAACTAATATGGACATGAGCAAGAAAGTGGTTTGATCCAAAACAGTTCAAGTCATTCAAATATTTTGGTAGCTATTATTTTATGTATTAGTTTTCTCCTTTTGTGTTGATTATTAAAACACTGAGGGACCTGATTATTAATATGCTGTATGTGTAATGAGAGGACCATCAGAGAAGTAACACACAAACAGGTTTCATTAAACTCACAGTACCTTCACTGTTAAACAGCTTTTTACATCCTGTCCTGTACCTGTGTGTCTCCGTCACATTATTATAGTACTGCAGCAACAGCAGATACTTTACTGTTACTTGGACTGCTTTGGGCTACATATTAGGTTAGGGTTCAAAACAAATGATAATAGGATTAAAAAAAGGTTTCTTACATTTTCTTTGTGGGGTTTTTAGTCGAGGATTTAGTCGACTTTATACGCAAATAGTTGTTTTATTGATTAGTTTACCTACCGAAAATAATCTAACTATTCAAACAATTGATTTATCATAATTTTTTAGTTACACAAATGCAGTGATTTTAGCAAATGCTAATATTTGTGCTCTTTTTTCGTTAAGATTAAAAATTAATATCTTTGGTTTTCAGAAAAACACTATTTCAACGTATTTCAGATTCTTTACAGACCAAATAATGAATCAATGAATTGAGAAAAGAATCAGATTAGTCCATCATTCAAATATCTGTTTGTTTAATTTCTTACTTTAATTCATATTAGATATGGTTTGTATCAAATTAAGATGCTAAAAAGTGTCATACTGTATGACATATCAATCCCTTTCTGAATGCACAGTACCTCCTGAATGATTTCAACTCTGGTTCATCGTCAAGTATGAGTTAATAATCCTGGTACAGCGACACAGTGACACAGAACACTGTGTTCCAGTCCAAGCAGCTCTCAGCTCATGACAGGAAGAGCCTGAACGCACCACTGTCAAAATAAAGGCGACTAACAGGACGACACTGCGGGTGGAAATGTGTCCTCTAAGCCACTTCTGTATTATGCAAATTATTCCAACAAGGAATTAAAACCTTACATCTAAATAAAGCAGAGTTGAAACACTCTTTTGTTGTTGAAATAAATAGTCTAACAAGACTTTTTCTGACATTTCTAAATCTTCATAAAAAAAGGAAAAAATAATCTCTTCTGTAAAAACTCTGACATGAAACCCGATGCATTTAACTAAAAGGTAATGTTGCTGAGCCTCCCTGTAGTTTAACAGTCTTGCTGTTTGCATATTTCACAGTAGTGTGGGGCCCTTGGTGGTGTAGTTCATGGCGGGGAAGTGGCGGCTGTCTACGTCCCAGTGGCCGAGGGGCTGCTGGGCGGCCGACGGGGGGCCGGGGGTCCAGTGGTTGATGTAGCTGGCCATGAGCAGAGTGAGCTCCAGAATCTGAGAGCGGAGCACAAACAGCTCGGATTAATGGTTTTAACATTACGAGATGATGTTTCATTGGATCGCAGGGAGCCGGAGGGCCCAGCGTGGAAACCTGAAAACCTGAGACATCAAACTGTCGTGCGATCAAGCGTGGCGTCACTTCTCATTAGCTTTTCCCACCGCTGTAACATGAGCTCCACTGAGATCCTGCACATTACTGACAGACATTACCTGCTGTATGCATTAGCGCTCAACAGGTGAGTATGAGTTAGTCTCCCTTATCTTCACAGATCCTTTACACGACTTCAACGCCTTCAACATTTCATATGTCGACCCACGCTCCTTCACGCCTCAGCGCTAATGGTTTACTTCAGTGGCTCTTAACCTCGTTCCTCTGCAGTCTCATCAGAGGAACTCAACCCCCCCTCCATCAACACGTCATTTAAACTGGATGTCATTCAACACCATCAACCATGGCAAAGTGGATAATGTTATAATATGTTTACATTCAAATCGTTTAGTGTTTAGGTTGGTCTAGGTGAGATCTGTACCACTAGGGGCCGAAGCTAATGGTTTCAGCTGTTTATCTATCACTTTAACCAACTATTTAAAATGTGTATCCATTACTGTAGCTAACTATTGCAACTCTTTATCCATTACATTTAGATAGATCTTCTTCATTTAGCCAATGTATACTGTATATCAGTCACTTATAGCTATCATTTAAACTTGTATCTATTACTTTTGATAAAGTCAACCTTTTAAAAAATATTTTTGAGCAAATAATTTTTTTATCAATTACTTAGCCAACTATTTAAACTCTTATACATTACCTTAAAGGTGGGGTAGGTAATTTTGGAGAAACCAGCTCGAGTGCGCTAGAATTTGAAAATACACAGCTGGAAAAAATCTGCCACTTCCTTACAGAGCCCTTCCTCCAACACACACGAACGCGCACATGACCAACGAGGGCACGAGATAAGTTTGTGCACAGATGGAAGGCTGACAGGCAGGTAGGCCATCCAGTTACTTTAGCCGGGCCGGCTCAGATGATTGGTCGTGCTTTTTACAGTACTACGGCTTCCACAGATGACATTTTTTTATGGATTTTTTGTCAAAGCACTTAAGATATTCATTGCTATCGGGATGTTAAGAGCATTCCATGGAATATAACAAAAAGTGTATCTCGAGCCGGTTTCTCAAACTTACCTACCCCACCTTTAAGCTAAATATTTAAATTGTTTATGAGTATCTTTTATCTAATTATTAAACTCTTTATCCTATGTCAGCTCTGTGAATACCTTTTAATTCTTAAAAATGATCCAAATGTCCACATACCCTCTGGCAACAAGTAATCCTGCTTAGATCATATTTATAAAAGGGACAAGCTCGGATGCAGAGGCAAAGCAGACATCGATCATTCAGACTGAACACGTGCAGATGTCCTCTTGATGCTTACCTTTGGTTTGGCCATCACAAAGACCAGCTTCTCCACGCTCTTCTTCCCGACTCCAGGCTCCCTCTGCTGGCTCGTGACCACCATGAAATCGTCACGGAAACCTCCGAATGTGATCACAGACTGGTAGGAGTATGTGACCAGCGTGTGCTGAAGAGTGGAGACATGGCCAGTGTTAAATGAGCAGGGATATAAAACAGGGAGCACGTTCTAAATGTTATGGCTGATCTCAAAATAGAGCGTGGATTTCTTTTGGGAAATGTTTTTGGATTTCTGCCTTTTTTTAAGGGCTAACTCAGCGTGAAGGAGCGTGACATAACGTTCAGTGTTGGTTTTTTCTCTATGATTTTAACGAAGCTGCATGAGCCAGCTGCCGACCAAACCAAACATGAAATGGATCTGCATGGCCTGCTGCAAATGACAGAGCGTTAATGTTGTTTACATGTTCAAACTGCTGTTTTTTAGGGTAACATTTTTTAAATTAGAAGCCGGGGATTTTATTTTCCTGTGGATTTGTGGTGTTTGAACCACCACAGAATAAAAAGCCTTCAGACCGGTCGGCCACAAAGCTCTTGTGACCCGGCCAGCTGAGTTATAAAGACAAGTTTTCCTTTTTAGCTGAACTGAAACAAATGTAAACTCTAAAGTGTTTCATGTAACAACACAGGACAGAGATAGTGTTGATATAGTCACCATTGTGTAGTCCAGCACACACAGTCCATCTTCATTGACTGCCAGCCACCCTTGGCTCTGCTCGACAGGAGATGGGGGGACCGGCTGTGGACAGGGGAAACAAAGAGAGCACATGTGACAAATCCATCCTGGTATACCCTACAGCTTCATCTCTAAAGCCTCTTCAAGGTCTCAGACTGGTCCAACCTGTGCTGGAAACCTTATGGATAACTGTGTTAGGGGTCAAGAGAAGTGAAAGGTGAATTTCTGACTTTTTTGGAGAGTCAGACTTCAAACGAGAGTAACAGACAAACGCCTGCATTAAGACAAACGTGACATTAAACAATAAACAAGAAGATACATATTTTTTAGTTTCGTACCTTGGCGCTGAAGAGTTTGGCTCCAAACAGGGGCCACTTCCGAGCCACAGTTAGATATATTCTCACACACTCAGGTGCACTGCACCCACGTAGCATGGACCACTTAGTGGCCAGACGCTCAGTCAGATCTCTGAAAGGACAAAAAGAACATGTTGATTTGTTTTACATTACATGTTACTTGTTAGACGCTTTTATCCAAAGCGACTTACATACTGGACAATCCCCACAGGAGCAATTTGGGGTGAAGTGTCTTGCCCAGGGACACAACGACATGCTGACTGCAGTGGGGTTTAAACCTGTGACCCCCTGATCCGAACACCAACGCACAACCCACTGCACCACACGCCACTGCACCACACGCCTTTTAAAGATTGATTTTTGCTTTATTGAATAAAACAGAGGACGATAAGGCAGAGAGAGAGAGAGGATGATATTCAGCAGAGGGCCGCGAGTTGGTTTTAAACCCAGGCGCTGCTGCAAAGCCTCAATACATGAAGCTCCTTCCGAACCAGGTCAGCTACCATGATACCAAGTAGAGGGATATTTGATTAGGTTTCAATCTTATTTGTAGCAAACGCGAGCATCCAGCAGCTTGAGTTAATTTGTGTCTCATTCGTTTGTGAAAATATGAAATCGAGCACAGAACACATAGTGAAATGTAGACCCTGTATCTAACCCATCATGGTATTAAGAGCAGTGTTGGGGTCTAGTGCTAAACTCAAGCACCCCTTCAAAAGTTTGTACTACTGCCCTCACGACAAAATGCCACCACTATGTTTGTCAGACTTTAGTCACAAGAGGACATCGCAAAATACATCAAACAAACCTTTATCAGGAGGACATTTGGTTCTCAGGTTCTAGAAAAACAAACATATTATTTCAGCAGTGTTTGTTTTACCTGAGCTGCTCTGAGCTGCAGTCCTGTTTGTAGCGTTTGGGGTAGAATCGCTCCAAGGCCTGCAGGAGGATCAGCTGGGACTTGGGCTGAGGAGACGCAGCAGGAGAGGAGGCAGCGGGTTTCTCCAGGTCACTGTGCTCAACCTGGAGGAAGAAAAAACAGAAGCACAGAGAGGGTGAGAAAGATAGTTTTAACACACAGAAAAATTCAGTATGCATTACAAGGTTTTCATCGATTGAAGTCTTGATAGTCCCTGGACATGTTGCTTACAGACCTGTGCCATGAGGGCAGCCACCTCCAGAGCCAGCTCTTTGTTCACAGGGAAGTGGCCTTTGTGCACTTCATCGTTCACCTGGTACGCCAGCAGGAGGCGCTCTCGCTCCGTCTCTCCTTTCACCTGACCTCTGAAACACAACCTGTGCATGCACAAAGGAAGAACACATGTCAAGAAACGTGTCTTCCTGGAAGAGGCTGAAATGATACACTCTTCACTTCATTTAAAAGTTAAGGAAACTAATCCCAACATTTTGAAATGAATCAAAAAGGCAGAACACATCTCATATCACCATCTTTTGTTTGTTGTTAAGCCTTTTATGTAGACAAATGAGTGTGAGTTAATAATGAAAGATGCTGAGGTATTGTGTTTTAACAAGATGACGCAAAAGGAAATCCTACCTGCTTTTATATGTGAGACGCACAATCCGTGTCCCCTCATTTTTCCCAGGATGCAACTCCTTCAGGGCCTGCTCCCACTTGGATATGACATCACAGATCTGGCCAAATGGAAACAAGTCGTACTCCAGGCAGACAGTGACATCACTATGTAACACTAACGCTTCTATTGGCTAGCGCTCCAACACAATGTACGTGTTAGGCTAAGGGCCGGGACATCTTTAAGAGGTTGATCAATCACAACAGAGCCGGCCAGCTAACCAATCAAAGCAGACTGGGCTCTGGTTTCAGACAGAGGGTGAAAAGAGGTGCTGCAGCACAGGCAGCATGAGAAAAGTAAAGAGCTTTCTGAACATTAAAGCATGGAGACATGTCACGGTAGAGACACTACATACTGATATCAGCCTGAAAAGGAGCTTAATAAGGCCCCTTTAAAGTCAGAGTATTGAAGTTGCAGCCAGTAAAAACACGAGTAAATAATATAGATTACTGTCTAAGTTGCACAATGGTGTTACAGTCTGTATTGTGTGCTGGCCTGGTCTCTTTGAGCTGGTTAAACACAATGGAATAGTTTTAGTAACCAGAATGAAAATGAAGTGAAAGCACCACTTGTATTGTGATTGAGTGGAATTAAATTACAGTGTAAGGCTTTGGTATGCTGCAGTTTCAAAACCAAAGTCCCAAAATGGTTTGGACAGCCTTAATCTTATGAAAATAGTTTTTAAAAACCCTCTGTTGTTCCTCTACAATGTTAAGAAACATGAGACGGATGAATTGAACCCCTGCTCAGTGAGCCTCAGTGATACCTTGGCAGACGGCAGCAGGCAGTGCTCCAGGTCTCTCCCCGATGGATCGTCAGTGACGAGAGCAAAGCCCGACAGCTGAGGCTTCCTCACACAGATCCTCTGGTTCAGCGTGTGGAGGAACTCTTCCACTGTGGTGGAGCCGTCGAAACCCACCACCTACATGAGAGAAAAAAGTCTGATTGATGAGATGAACCAGAGCCAGCCTAAATGTTCCTGCAACCTAATAGCAAGTGCAGCAGTGGATTAGAACTGCAGATGTATTGTTTACTGCAGCTGTAAGAAGGAGTTGAGATAAAAAACAGAGTTGTGTTGTTTCAGGTACTGGTGAGACGATAAAATATGATCCAGGACATCCAGGCTAAGTAATCGATCCATGAGTTTGGAGCCAAGGCACTTATGCGTCAGGACTTTACAACTCTGTAAAAGTTACTTTGACGGGAATGATTTTATTGTCTGATTCCCAGATGACGTTGCATTTCAGCAAAATCTTTCTGTTGCTGGACATAAAAATAAACATCTGCTACATTCAAGCCCTTTTCGAACAAGTTCACATTAAGCTGATTAAGCCAATCACTGCCAAGGAAACATTCTGTATTTTTAGTTTTGGCGTCTGGGGCAAGTTCTCCTGCACTAGCCCATTTCTACCTGAAGGTGAGCTTGTTGCATCTACCACACCCCCTCTGGATTGTTCTCTTCAAACTTTACCGTGCAATTCTCTATAATCGGATCATTTCTCTGAACCCCAAGTTTCTTTTTCATCTTGAGCATCGCTCTAGATAACTGATGCTGTGTCTCTATGGTCAATCCTATATGGTAATTACTCTCACTACCAGAGGGGGGAGACAAATATACCAAACTCCAGCTTTTAATATGGTAGTAACATCAACATGCGTTCACATCTGCAGGTATAACATGACGCTGTTACTTGTAGGTTAAGTTACACAACAATCCTCTCCCTTAAGGATATCTGATGCTCAAAGTGCGTGAGTTGCAGGGATATTAGACGAGGTGATTTGCTTCTGAAGAATAGATCATGTAAATGGTGTCTTTAAGATATAAATAAGACATTTGGTAAGACACATGTGCTTGTGTGCTTTACCTGGTAGGTGTTGTTCATGAAGTGCACTGGGATGCTGAACGGCAGTGAGTGGTGGTAGGGGTTTCTCAGCAGGATGGAGACGATCTCCATTCGGGAAGGTTTGGCCTCTCGCTCTCCGTTCTGCAGTGTCCGCTCCACAGACCTCTGACAGTACACGGCATACTTCCCCACCTCACTCCTGTGTGGGGGAAAAGGTGATAGAGATGTAAACAATCCAATAAAAACTGCCGCACAGCTGATATTTTGTTGTTTTTTTTACTTTGAAGGGTCAGCTACAGGCTTTAGACCTTACTTTGGGTCGGCGTTGCGCTGCAGGTACTGTTTCAGGTACCACAGGAAATGTTGCTGAGGCAGGAACAGAGCCACACACAGAGACAACAGCTGCCAGCACTGCAGGAGGACATGGGGAAAAGAGACAATTTTTAATATACAGGATCTTTTGAAACCTTTTCAGCACTCTGCTTCATATTCTGAGTTAACCTAGTATGGTCATATTAGTTTGATTAAAAGTTCAAATCAACCTGCAGGCTGACCTGTGTGAGGGAGTAGTTGTGAGGTGTCCGGCGGTTGGTCTGCTTGATCAGCTGACAGTAAACTTCATTCTGCAGCTCGGGGTGGGTCAGGCACACTTGCAAAGCATTCTGGGCCAGCGAGGTGTGGTAGTCGACTGAAGGAGACTCAGCCAGGACGTTGATGAAGAGCTGACAGGACTGCAGAGATGGAAATACTTCTTCATATTTTACATCTGACACCAACTTCCAAAGCACTAACTGTTTAGTCCTAATTATTCAAATATATACTGTAGAGTAATTACTTCAACATTCTGTTTTATTTCATTTGATTTTACATTAAAATAGTTGACTTATTATCACAAATTTCTGCATTTAACTTGCATTATCGTGTCACTTTATATATGACAATAAAACCTTAGAATCTCCTTTGAATCTAACCAGCAGGGGGAGGCAAATACACACCAGAGACTAAGAGTTTGCATCTTAAAATAACCCTAACCCTAAAACTCCAGGTGATGACAAACCAACAAGAACACATGATATGAGGTCAGTATGAGCCCTAATGTGTATGTCATTATTATTTGTCTTTATCCAGTGGGACAGTTGAAGACAAAAGAACCAACTCGTCAGATTCATTAATACTTCAAAGTCCCTAGACTTGAAAAGTGTGTCACTCCCATTCACTGTGTCTCTTTGTGTGTGGTGGGTCTGTTTTTAAGGCTGGCTTGTCAAAGAGAGAGCCGATCCATTCAACTTTCCATCCCATAGTGGAGCGTCTGCAGTGGAACAGGGGGGGGGCTCCTGGGTGGGCGCACTGAGGGCCACAGAGTTGAAAAAAGAGGAAAAGATCTTATTTCTCCTCCCCCGTCCTGTAGCTTCCATTTCCATATCTGCCACTCTGAGGACCCTGACCCCCCATGTCTCCTCTTTAAAAGGGCCGCCTTTCACACTGCCTGTAAACCGGAGGACCGGTTAGCCTCAATCAGAGCAGATAATCAAGACCATTATCTCTCTTCCAAACTTTTAATGAGCTGGGGTCCTCGTCCTCAAGCCTTTGATCTGCTTTAGAGGCGGGAGGGAGGAGAGGAAGAGGGTCATCGAGCGCATCCAGGAGAAGAGGGGGTAATGGGAGGGAGGCTGGATGATGCCTTGCACAGACTCTCGCAGAAGAGGAGAGAGGGATTCGGAGAAAGGGATGAAAGGAAATGGAATAGCAAGAGAGAGACAGAAGGAGGGGGGGGGGGGGGGGGAGAGGTGGAGAGACGGACCTTGAATAGCTTGAGAGCTTCAGTCTGCAGAGCTTCAGAGGGCAGAGTGCTGAGAGGCGAGTGCAGACCCTCCTTACAGAAGCTCAAGGCCTCGCTCTTCCACAAGGAGGATTCTGGGAAAAGAAGGAGAAGCACACACACACACATTGAAAACACACACACACACACACACACACACACACACACACACAGGCACAGACAAACACAAAGATTGAGTTTCAAAGCCGTAATGACTCTGGACAGCTGAAAATCTAAAATTCACACACAGCGCTGCCGTCGTAAACACAGTCTGCAGCGTGGATTAAGACCGTCACACGGAGCGGGTCAAAATAACACGGAGCATGCTACTGACTGCATTTGTCTCCACTTATAGAGAGAGCGTAAAGCCTTTCAGTCTACTACACATCTACTGTGTGTGAGGGTTATACATATCTCCAATGCCGACTCTATGATATGCAGTGTTAAAATGTGATCCAATATTTTTATGAACTCTGTACCAACAGTTATAAATGACTTTTAATGTCACTTTTAGTTCAGCGTCAAAGCTACAACTGAGGACGCTGAGGTCGTGCTATAATGTATTTTTTGTGTGAAGTTGTAGCTTTTAAAGATGGAGAATTCAAACACACAACTGGTGGTTATTTCACAGGATGATTTAAGATGTTTCAAACCTGATTTACTTATAGTTTATTGCTTAAAGGCAAACTAAATAAGTACGGCTAGGTTTTAATATTGGTGCATATTAATCACTTTACTTGATGGCGTGTAAATATGGTTTGACCAGTTAATTAGTTACTAGCTACTTAGTAATAGAGCAAAGTAGCTTCTCATTGCTTATACATTAATATACATGACATATGATTTCTCACCTGGGTCTCCCTCTGCATCGAGGAGTTTACCGATCAGCTGCTCGTACTCTGTTCCCACTTTAAAGTTTGCACAGCTGCCGGCAGCCACTGTCAGGTGATACAGCCATGTGTCCTGAGTGGAGAAAAAACACAAGACGTCATTAATCAACCCCATGCCTGAGGATGCATCACATCTCACCTATATATTCATGACATTAATGCAACATTACCTTCTCCTGCTTGGTGCCGATGAGCAGGTATGTAGGACTCTGGTCTCGGGGTTGGACCACCAAGGTGCAGTGTGAGGAGAGGAATCCTCGATTGCCGGATTCATAGTCCTCATCCGAGTCACAGGAGCGATCCACTTCCTGTACGGAGGCGGAGCGTATCTGCAGCTGACCCAGAGGCAACTGAGAGGAACAACTTAAATTAGTAAACAGGGAATTAAAGTAGTGGGAACTAGTGTTAATTTCGTCAGCTATTTTTTAATTTAGTTTTAGTCATAGTCCTGTGTTAAATTTCCTTTTTCGTTTTAGTCATATTTAGTCACCTTCATCCTGTTTTTATTTAGTCAAGTTTTAGTCGACTAAAAGTCTGAGCATTTTAGTCTTATTTTAGTCGACTAAAACAGTAACTATTTTAGTCAAGATTTAGTCGACTAAAAGTCTGAGCATTTTAGTCTTATTTTAGTCGAAGAAAACTAATTATTTTAGTCTACTTTTTGTCAATGAAAACTGTTGAGTCTTTTTTAGTCATCAGATTATATTGAACATTTCAGTCAAACTAGTCTAGCCAAAACCAATAATTTGTCATTTTAGTCAAACTTATTTCACAATAAGATTATATCTTGTCCTTATTTGATGATGAAAAACACAGGTTGAATGATTAAGAATGCAGCTTTGCAGAGAGTATCTGGTCAGGTTTGTGGTGTTTTTACCAGCTGTGTTATGGCTACATTGCTTCCCTTCTGATAAAACAATGCATTCGCTTTTTTTCTCCGCCTCATTGTAGCGAAAATGGGCCCAAATATCACATTGTTTCTTTCTCCCAAGCAATGATGGCTTTATACTTTTTCGTTGTCAGTCATTTTGACAGACAAGATCGTAACATTTCCGTCATAATCCATTATTACCCGTCGAGTGCACAATGTATCACTCACTCGCGCTGACGGGGGGGGTATTCGGTTAACGCGAGTGCGACCACTGCTCCCAAGCCCTGTTGTTGCCATTTTATTTTCTGTTAAATAAGGTTAGTTAGACCATGAGTTAGACCCGAGTCTTCCTGACAGTTCACAGTGTGCCGCTGTCCGGTGTATTTCAAATGTACCGCCGCGCGCGGCACAGACACACAGCTGCTGCACCCAGCCGCAGCACCGGAACTGCTGGGAGAAAAACTGACTTTCAGAGATGTAACGTTATCTTTGATAATATTTCGTCTCCTCATTTTTCGTCAACGAAAGTAAAGAGAGATTTTGGCATAGTTTTTATTTAGTAAACTACATTTTCGTCTCGTCACTTTTCGTCAACGATATTGCATGATGATTTCGTTACAGTTATTGTTTATTGCCGTCGGTGCCGTCTCGTCATCGTCTCGTTTTCGTCATGGAAAAAAAGGTCGTTGACGAACATATTTCGTCATAGTTTTAGTCAACGAAATTAACACTAGTGGGAACTAAGATAAAACAAACAAACGTGTTGAAGAAAAGGAACAAACTCAATCACAATCAGAAATTCTGTTATCCAACAATCTTTACATTGTTTCAGCAAAGATTTAGGCCAGATATATAAATACAGAGGTAAGCAAACATTCACATCAAAATTGGTTCACATTCATTATATTAGCAATGAGTAGCAGTGATAATAGAAGTACCGTGTTAGCAGCCAGTAATCACATTTTTACATAAATTGTAAAAAGGTTTGTAAAAATAGTTACACTGACATAATAACACCTTCTTTTTCTTGTATAAGCAAAAGCTGTAACCACCAGTCCTCTATTGCAGATCAAGAAAACCACTAACAAGTATTTATTTACAAAATCTTTTCTGAGGAAGGTTTTAAAATAGTAAAAGAAAAGACAAAATGAAAAGCAAGCGTGGCATGTTATGAGAAAGGAGTTATATACCTTGTCTTCCTGATTACGATAGTAGTAGAAGGATTTTCCAACCAAAGAACACCACACCAGCTTAGAGTGTCCGTGTTTGACCTGAGACAAGAAATCAGACAATGGTATGAGAAAAGTATCACAAAAAAAGCCCCAACTCTACCTGACCCGATTTTCCAAACAGAAGCAAAAACATGACTTGTGCTTTTATTCTTTTATATCCTTTGAAACTCAGACAAAAGACATTTAAAAAAGCTAGACAGATGTTAGTCCACATCTGATCCGCAGATGTCCCAGGAGCCTTCAGTAAAGTATGTGAGACAGCTAACTTCATATCCACACTCGCACACCTTCCCTGTAGTGTGTTATATAGGTTTCTTGTGCATGTAAATGGTCTGCAAAGGCTACAATCCCTGTGTTCCCTCCAGAGAGAGTTGTATCTTTGACCTAAGACTTTCATCGTCATAACTACACTGTAGCTATGTACGTATGACTAATAAAAGCCTTGAACCTTGAACCTTGAAAACCTCCATTGGACACCTTTGTTTACCTCCATAACATAGTGACGTCACTATGTTATGGAGGTTAACCTATTGGCTAGCACTCCAAAACATTGTACGTGTTGGGCTAAGGGGCGGGACATCTCTAAGCGGTTGACCAATCAAAGCAGACTGGGCTCTGGTTTCAGACAGAGGGTGAAAAGATGTGCTGCAGCACAGGTAGTATGAGACAAATAAAGAGCTTTTTGAACATTAAAGCATGGAGACATGTCACAGTAGAGGCCAACAAACTAATATGATTTTGAAAATGAGCATAATTGAGGCCCTTTGACCAGGAATGCAGCTTCTGGTGATCATGGAACATCACTTTCAGCAACAGTCCTCTTTCAGAGAGTTTAAGAAATGTGAATGTCGTCACTTGTGGATGCCGTGGACCCAGAGCCAGCTGTGACCTCAGAGGGTCAGCGGGTTAGCAGCGCTGAGAGTCCTGTCTGGACGGAGATCACGTCATGAGCAGCAGATCAAAGACCACTCTCAGGAAGGGGTTTGGGGTTTGGTGAAAGGACATGTGCTGTCAGTCATCCGTCAGAGACCCATCACTCACACCCGTCAGATGTTTAAGTGTCTTAAGTTAACCAACAGACGGGAGGATAAGGGAAGGCAGGGAGCAGAGGAGGGAGGAAGGGAAGGAGGTCTCAAGCATTCCAGCAGCTCAGGCCTAACAACCGTGTCCCAACGTGAAGGAGGTTTTCAAGAATCTGCTTCAAGTGCTCCGTCAAACCCTCCCCACCCCGACGACAGACACTTCTATATCTGTCTGAAAGAGACGTTAGGGCTGAAAATGAGGCATCCTCTTCAGGGAGAAAGCCGGCTAATCTATACCTCGTGAAACTATGCAATGGAAGTGAATATCAGTAAGGATTACCTAGAGTAACAGACCAGCTAAAAACCAAGTAAAGTGAAATACATTATTTCAGTAAAAACTGTGAAACAAGTGACGTTTTAAGGAAACATTATTGTAGCAACTCTGAATTTAAGTGTCTTCAAATGCTATAAAAACTTGAGCTATAACAATCAGTTTTTCAATTAGCAGAATTCTCAAAGGAATATTTTCATTATATATTTGTTTTTAATTTAGGACTTTTTTGTCCTAACTTTCATACAAATATTTTATATTACATGAAAATAGACTACTCCCAAAATGACACTGTTTGCTCCTTTTTCCAGTCTTAATGCTAAGCTAAGCTCATTGTCTACCAGCAGTAGTTACATATTGAGCTTTTAGACAGTCGATGTATTTATCTTATCATCTCATGCTTGGAGAAAAGCACTTACTGTATGCAATACCAAAGTTTCAGGGTCTCTAATAACTGACCTTTGTGAGCCAGCCCCTCACAGTGGGCCTGGCGGTGGTGGTCTCCACGGTAACGGGGCTGCTGGCCTGGACTCTGAGGATGTTCTGCAGGACCCGGATCCACTCCTCCAGGATGTTGGGAGAGTCGGCGGTCAGATAGAAGGTCTTCTTCTCTGTGATCAGCTGAGTGGACGAAAAAAGGGAGAAATATGGGAAAAATGCTTCAGCCGAGACTGAGATAGTATCATCGTGTCAGAGGAGATGAGAATCAGCATCCAGGGAAACATTCCAGACCAACGCTATACCTGATGTCATTTTAAGCTGCTCCTCTGGTATGCAGCAGTAAAGCTCCACTGTGATGCAGCGCTATAATAAGAGTGCTGGGGTGTGTAAAGCTGTGTGTGTCCACTTACAACTCATGCTGACATCTTATATATCGTAAATCTATAAAAACTACTATTGTAATTCTTTACATAACCTGTAGCAGGGTGAAGCGTAATTCATACCCACCCTACACAACTTCAAGAACTGTTTGGATAGTCTTCTCATGATTTAAGGTTTGTTTTCCACTTACTTGAAATGTCTGAGCTCCTTCTCCCCGGACTATACTGCAGGCCGAGTTCAGCTCGATCTGACCCTGAGGTTTCCTGATCACGTCACTCTAAAAACACACAAAAATACACAAGAAACTTAACTTCTGTCCAAGATGATTTGTATAAATCCAATCACAAAGTTTGTAATATCAGTGATGTACATGGGTATGTCAGCTGCAGCCAACGTACACGCAAACACACAACATTCTGAAATATTCATGCAATGATTTTCTGTGCAGACAGGAAATCCCTAGAAGGAAGCAGCAGCCGGCTCACACTCACAGGAGATTTGTAGTAGAGAATCTCTCCGTTCCTCAGGATGAACCAGCGGCGTTTCCAGGCCTTCACCTGACTGCCCATCTTCAGCAGGTACCCCGACTTCTCCAGCATCTCCTGCACACACACAGCTCAGAGGTCATTCAAACACACCTGACTGCTCAGAGGTCATTCAAACACACCTGACTGCTCAGAGGTTATTCAAACACACCTGACTGCTCAGAGGTCATTCAAACACACCTGACTGCTCAGAGGTCATTCAAACACACCTGACTGCTCAGAGGTCATTCAAACACACCTGACTGCTCAGAGGTTATTCAAACACACCTGACTGCTCAGAGGTTATTCAAACACACCTGACTGCTCAGAGGTCATTCAAACACATCCGACTGCTCAGAGGTTATTCAAACACACCTGACTGCTCAGAGGTTATTCAAACACACCCGACTGCTCAGAGGTCATTCAAACACATCCGACTGCTCAGAGGTCATTCAAACACACCTGACTGATCACACTGGATCTGCCTAACTCAAATGGTTTGCTGGTCATTATTTATATAGATTCAAAGGCTTTATTTGTCACATGCAAAAAATAGCTACAGCAAAAGTTTTGAAACGAAAATCTTGTGTTTTAGGCTACTCCAACAATGCAACGTACGATATTGTTTACAGAAGAAAAAAGACATAAAATAGTGCAATAGACAAATTGTTGACATAAGTTTTATATAGGTGCAATTATGCAGTGCAATAAGTGAAAGATGAATAAAGTGTGTATAGGCTTCCACAGATAAAACATTTTTATGGATTTTTTGTCAAAGCACTTAAGATATTCATTGCTATCGGGATGTTAAGAGCATTCCATGGAATATAACAACAAGTGTATCTCGAGCCGGTTTCTCAAACTTACCTACCCCACCTTTAAGTGAAACTGTGGAAATGACAGCTGAAGGCCCTTTATTTTATTAATAATAATAATAATAATAAGGAGTCCACTCACAGACCCGGTGCTCTCGCAGGAGTAGGAGGAGGTCCGCTGGACTTTGTGTTCTGGTTCAGAGTAGTCGCTGTCCAGGGAGTATGCATCTGGAGGAATGGCATAATCGCTCTCTGAGCTGATGGAGGACATGGACACACCTAAGAAAACAGGAGACATTGCATATGTAAAGGTACAGAAAGTTAAAAAAGCAAACAAGGGATAAAAACACAGAAAATAAATTATACATTTCTTGATTCAGAGCCAGCGGGGAGCCGGAGGTTTGAGACAGAAGTTTCCCAAATGGAAAATCCAGACTGTGAAGTCACTTATCATCAGAGATATCATCAGTAGGTGATGCTCAATGCATTCCTGCAGTTACTCTGCATTGAGTTGAAGTGGTGAATGTCTGCAGATACTGAGTGCTCTAGTCTGCTTTCCCTTCTTCTAATTCAGGTAGTGATTTCAAATGTATCTTGGTACTTTCTGTCCTTCCAATGCAGATTCTTCCAACTGCATAGCATTCTGGTGAGCGGACACAATTCTGCCTATTCTGTGTTGGTTATCTCTCTGTTTGAATAGGAAAGAATGGGGCAGAATGGTGCTCTGTCTGTCACAGATGGCTACATTTCATGTAGCTTCTATCCAAAGACTTCTACAGTGATCATACAGTAAGATATACAGTATCTTGCCCAAAGACACTTAAATGTCTAAAAAGGTCGGGATAGAACCACCGACCCTCCGATTGGTGGAAAACCACCCCCTGAGCTACAGCCTCAGTTAAGTTTTTTTTTCTTCTTTAAGGGCTTTTTAATAACAGGAAAATGTGTTCATTTACTGTACAAGCATGCATCTTTGCAGCATGAACTGTAATTATTCAGTTTATACACAAACTGAATAATTAACTCCTTTAGCTAATAAAACACTTAAATTATTTATCTCACACATGCTTTGTCCCTAATCATTTTAAAGCTGGGTGGTTTTCCCTCTCTTAATTTGTCTGCCCTGTGCTCCTCCTCACCTCTCTTGGCGGCTCTGGGGCTCCCGGGGACGCTGCCCTTCTTGTCGGGGATCAGGATGGAGGTGCGTAAACTGGCCAGAGAGCTGCTGTCGTCCTCAGACCCGGAGTCATCGTCAGGCAGAGGAACGCTGCTGATCTGAGTGGCTTTCTGAAACAAACATCGGAAAGAGTAGTGTTAAAGGTCACCTATTCTGCAAAAACCACTTCTTCATGTCTCTTCTACATCAACATGTGTCCCCTCTGTGAAAAGAGACTCTGAAAGTTTCAGGAAAAAAGATTCTCTCTCTTTTTGTCCTGATCCATTTATATAAAAACCTGTCTGAAAATGAGCTGATCAGATTTTGGCCACTTTATGATGTCATAACGATTTTTTGGCTTGTGTAACCATTAGCCAATCACCAACCAAGGTAACCCCCCTCCACCTTATCACCTGAATCTCCTCCTAGAGCACCATTGTGTTCTTTTTAACCAAATATCTCTCAGAGGGGCGTGGGGAGGGGCTCCTTATTTTCATCTAAAGTAACAGACAGAGAATCAGCACTTTGGAAACAGGGCTGAAACAGAGGGGATTATGGGATGCTGCAATGATCAGTTTGGTATTTGGAGCCAACCACTTCAGAGACATGTTTTGTATATATCGGAGACCTATAATGTATTGATGAAAAACAGTATAATAGGGGACCTTTAAAGTAAAACCCAACCTAAAACAATAATATCATGATAACAAAGAATATTTCACTCACCCCTTTCAGTGTGGTGTAGACCGGTACATTGATATTCTTGTAGATCAACTGGGTGAACGGACCTGCCGCTGGATATTGGGGTAAGGTGGACCCTGCAACATACACATTTTTTATTCAGAATGTATATGTTTTACTGTTATTTCCTTATGAAATGTAAACAAAACATAGCAAGGCATTTATTTACATTATTTAGAATGTGTAAATATAACAGTGGTCACAAATGAAAATGAAAGAAGAAAAAAGGCCATTGTAATTGTTATGTCTGAATAGCTGCTAAGGAGGGAAAGAAAGTAGATCATATGTATCTATTTGAAGTTACATCCACCTAGGAGGTAATGGTTTTGGTTTCCCAAGCAGGATAACGGAAGAACTACCGGCCTAATTGTCATGAAAGTGGGTGAAATGATGTAACATGGGCCAAGTAAGAACCCATTAGATTTTATGGTGGATTGAAATCAGGAGGCGGATATAATAATTATATTTCTTTTTCAATGATATTGAAAGATAGGGCATTTGGCCTTTGAGAAGGTCTTGGCTCTCAGAGTGCTCTTTAAAAATGTACACACATTTGCAGCAGGGTTACTGAAAGATAAGTAGTCTTGAGCATATTCTTTTTTTAGATCTGGCCCTTTGTATTCAATTTGAGATCTGAACGCTCCAACAGATGCACCTTCAGGCACAAACATGAGAGGAGGCTGAATGAACCACTTGGCAGTCAGAGAGCTGTCAGACCTCGCTGTCTGCATCCTGACAAAATGGAAGACGTCGGGACAGAACGCACCGCAGTAATTACACCCAGACCACCTCCTTTCATCGCGGCTGATTAAAAAGCTGCTTCTCCCTCAGCTCCTCTTTACCCCCCCCCCCACACTCTTACACTCGTCCTCGGCTCTTTAAAGAAAAGAAAGAGAGCCTCCTGAAGAGAGAGCGGCCCACCTGTGCAGGTGTGTGTAGCCTCGGGCCGGAGGAAGTGACATCAAAGGCGGCTCTGACAGATCCAAACTAACCACACAGCTGAATGACATGTCACTTCAGAGTAATGACTCTTCTCTACACCACCCAGGCTCATGCAGAGTTATACACTGATTTATACTGTCTTCATCTATTTTAGCTTGTTTGAATTACTTTATTCTTAGATCCTTAATGGCTTTTTTAATTGTCCGTTAGATGTCCTAAATAATGTTTTTCTTTTGAAACGCTTTTAATATATTAAATTAAGGAATTGTAATTGTCTAGTTGAAATATGGAGTATAAAGAAACTCGCCTTTACACATGATAAACTTATTTTCTTTCTTCCTATTTGCATTAAACTGACAATAAATGGATTTTAAAGGAAAGTGTATGTAAGTGAAGGAGTGGCTAGTTTCAGTCTGCGGGGGACTCACCTCGCCCGGGGCCCCTGGCTCCAGGACTCGCCTCAGATACTCTCATTCCTGACTTTGCCACAGCGTAGATCCGACTCTCCTGCAGAGAGAACAAAGGCAGTTATATTCCCCCCTCACTCCACTCAAACATTCAATATAAACACTTTCAGACGGTACAATATTATGTCGTCATTAAAAGGAATAACATTTCGGGAAATACACTTGTTCACAGTTTTCAGTACGATAGATATTGCTCTCATAGGGGTACGGTACATCTGAAGTTAAACTGCTACCAGCTGGTTAGCACACCTCTACAACTCACTTATTTACATATTATATATTCTTTTGTTAAATCTGTGTGAATAAAATAATTTGTAATGTTACAGAAGGTATTGATGGGAATATTTTTAGTAGTTTCTAAAATTGCAAATGTCTCCCCCTTTTTTCAGTTGTTGTGCTAAGCTAAGCTAACTGACTGCTGGTCGCTTCATATGTACTGTACAGACATGAGAGCGGTATCAACCTTCATCTCTCAAACATCCTAGGCTCCGGGCAGTGACAGCTACAAAAAGATATTGCTCATGCTTGCATGTAAGACTCAAACAAGACTCATACCCATGAAGGGAAGCGGTGTAACGGAGGTGTTGGCGGAGGATCGAGCTGATCCTGTTCGTCTGGGAGACCCACGGAGGAGGAGACCCCCCCCCGGCACAGCTCCTCTAAACCAGACTCCTCCACCACCCCGTCCATGCTGTCGGGGAGCCCATCATCAATGTCCGTCTCCTCCACAACCTGCGAGAAGGGCGAGGTGCCCGAGCTCTTGAGGGTGGAGCAGGTGGAGGAGGGGCTCATGATGTCGATGCTGACGTTGAGCTGATGCAGGCGGTCCAGGCTGGGCTGCGGCTGGCTGTAGTGCTTCTTCACCAGCTGGATGCTGTCCCTGGGGGTGAGGGGGGTCCGGACTTTAGGGAGCGTCATGCTGGCGCCTGATTGGTGAACTGAAGGATTGGGGAAGGGGTTGTTGGTGGAGGGGGAGCGCGACAGGAGGGGGCTTTTGGGGGTTATCCTGAGGGACAACTCCGGGGAGCTCGGGCCGTGGGCCATCTCGTAGGCTGAGGAGGAAGAGGAGGAGGAAGAGGAGGAGTGGAGGCACTGAGAGCGGAACTTGCTGTTGAGCTCATCGGAGGAGTTGTCTCTATCAGAGCCTCCTGCCGGACCCTCGGGGACCACCAGCTGCTCGGGACCACTGTTAGACACCGTGTCATGGGCCCTCAGGTCCCCGAGACAAACCGCTTTACTGCTCTGCTTCACGTCTGAGGAGACACAATCATAAGATTTGAGAAAAAGATAACACGGATGAAACAATGTTCAAGGAAAATACGTGTTAATTCTTATGAGTAGCAGGGTGTGGAAATGTATCGTGTCACATATACATCACTATATAAGTAAATATGGATCAAAAAATTGTTGATAAATAATAAATCCGAGCAGAATACCCACACAAAGGATCAACTTGTTGATTATAAGAGATGCGTTTAAGAAAGTTATTAGTGAGGCACCAGATGATGATAATTATAAAGATTAATGTTTCAACAATAAGTTATATTTGAAAGGTCATTTATAAGGAATGCACCAGGATTCATGAACATTTTCTATGGTTTGAGATAACATGTGTTAAAATGCTTATAATTTTTTATAAACACTAAAACTATTTGCTGAGAAGTTATTTACTTTACTCTGTAGAATAAGCAAAACACTTGGGAAATCTTCAACTGGATTTTGGTAAGGCTTTCATTATTGTAGGTTCTGCTCCAGTCATGTGATCGACCACATGCCTCAAAAGCTTCCTGCTTCCCTTCCCCAGATGATATAAAGTAAGTGCAGCACACCTGTGGGCGAGGTCTTGATGTGAGAGGCTCCTCGGGGGCCGGCCTGCCTCCAGCAGTCCTCCGGTGCAGGTGGGGTCTCGGGGCAGCTGGGGGGAAACAGCGGGCTGCTGGGCACCAGGTGGGTATCCATTACAGGAGAGGTGGCAGGAGATCCAGAGGAGGCATGTTTCTCTAAGAGAGCTGCAGGAGAAACACAACACCTGTCACTCAGTCTCTCTCCACTGGAGCTCTGGGAAAATATCGTAACAGAAACATTCAATCTGTCTACATGACCTTTTACTGTACAACTGCTAAAAGAATAATGACAATATCTGCTATATTTGAGCAGGAAATAAGAGTGCATTGCCCAAATAAACAGTGTACTAATGAATGTAAATCAAATTAATACATTTACTTTATGAATTGTAATCTAATACTTAAAGGTGGGGTAGGTCATTTTGGAGAAACCAGCTCGAGTGCGCTAGAATTTGAAAATACACAGCCGGAAAAAATCTGCCACTTCTTTACAGAGCCCCTCCTCCAACACACACGAACGCGCACATGACCAATGAGGGCACGAGATAAGTTTGTGCACAGATGGAAGGCTGACAGGCAGGTAGGCCATCCAGTTATTTTAGCCGGGCCGGCTCAGATGATTGGTCGTGCTTTTTACAGTACTACGGCTTCCACAGATGACATTTTTTTATGGATTTTTAGTCAAAGCACTTAAGATATTCATTGCTATCGGGATGTTAAGAGCATTCCATGGAATATAACAACAAGTGTATCTCGAGCCGGTTTCTCAAACTTACCTACCCCACCTTTAACTACTGGCTACATTTACAGCAGACATTATATTAAAACAAATTGTAATTGTATTTACTTTGTTTAATTTACTATTAGTGTTGGAGTCTCATAAAGACCGTGGATGGGAAAAGCTTAGAAAAAACATTTATTTTTTTGGATGCAGCACTCTGTGAAAATCATACAAAAGAAAGAGTAGAGCATTTGTTTTGCTTTTTAAGTAGTACCCTGTATAGTATAATCAGACTTGAAAGACATCAAATAAAAGCCTAAAAGCTTTTCACTCTTTCCAAATGAAGTTTCTTCTGCCGGTATTTACCTTGTAGTTTGTCCTGCAGCAGCATTATCTGTTCTGTCTGCTTCAGGTTGGCCATTTTAAGCTTCTGGTTCTCTTGCTCCATCTGCAACGAAGCACACGTAATAACCTTAAACAACACTTTTTACACAACGTTTATAGTTGAAACAATAACATTTGTTCCTATCTTTTAAATTAATATTGTAATTTGAGTTTTTATGCAAGTGTTATGACCATACATGCCAACCTTGAGACCTCAGAAATCGGGAGCATTTCAAAACCACCGCGGAAGGGGGGGGAGGGGTGCTAGTGGATCGCCGGAGCTGTTAGAACTGTTAGCGCCGGAGACTCGCAGCGGGGAAACTGACTTTTAAAGATGAAAAGAATCTACAAATGCTTATTGTAGTTGTAAGTGCACTGCCTTGATGGAACATATGTGTGGGTTGGAGGAGTGTATACGACAGCAGAGGGTCGAGTTGTCCATTTTTGTTTCTGTGACTATCTTCCTCACCATTCTGAACACCCTCTCACTTTCAGTTGCGCGCGCTACTAAAGAGACGCGCTACCATGGAAACCAAACAATGGTGTAGCTTTATTAAAGTCCGAGTGGAAACAGTCGTGAGTAAATCGGATTTTTGTCAGAAATCGGGAGAAATGCGGGAGAAATATGACCCCGGGAGGAAACCGGGAGAGGGCAATGAAATCGGGAGTCCATCCATCCATCTTCTCTCGCTTATCCATGGTCGGGTCGCGGGGGTAGCAGTTCCAGCCCCACACGTTCCTTTCCCTGGCCACATCAACCAGCTCTGACTGGGGGATCCCAAGGCGCTCCCAGGCCAGCGAAGAGATATAATTCCTCCACCTGGTCCTAGGTCTACCCCTCGGTCTCTTCCCAGCTGGACGTGCCTGGAACACCTCCCTAGTGAGGCGCCCAGGTGGCATCCTTACTAGGTGCCTGAACCACCTCAACTGGCTCCTTTAGACGCGAAGAAGGAGCGGTTCAACTCCGAGTCCCTCCCGGATGACTGAACTTCTCACCTTATCCCTAAGGGAGACGCCAGCCACCCTGCGGAGAAAACCCATCTCGGCCGCTTGTATCCACGATCTCGTTCTTTCGGTCATGAAATCGGGAGTCTCCCGCGAAAATCGGGAGGGTTGGCAAGTATGGTTATGACAAGTATCATTTCTCATTTCTGACTGTTTATAACCAGCTATATTTAAACATTTCTAACACTAAGCTTGTCTTGTTTCCACAGATGTCGTCTCGCAGCTGGGTGAGGGCTTCCCTGAGTCGGTTCTCTACATGTGTGAGCTTACCTCTTTAAGCTTAAAGGTGACCCAGTCTTTAATCTTGGCCGCCTTCTCCTCGATAACTTTGGCCTCCTGGGCTCTGACTAAGATCTGCAGACAGAGAAAACAGGGTTTTTGGATTATTTAACCTACATCGTATGAACATAAATGGACATGTCTTTCTTTATCTGATGCTCCGTCCATACCTGTTTTTCCAGCTGCACCTCTAATCTCTTTATCACAGCATCTTTTTCTTGAACCTGATTGGTCAGCTCTTGATACTTTCTGTACAACGAGCTCTCTGATTCGCTGGTTTGTATGTTTGCAGACTTCAGCTTTTCTTCCATGACATGGATCTGAAAAAGCATAATTAGGAGTTAATTCACGAGCACGGTGCACGGCCAAAAGCTCAAATTAGCACGCTCCGTTAAGTTTTGATAGGCACCAGACAAAGTTGGGAAGAAAACACAGAGAACACTTTTTGCTAACTCAACACAAGAAAAGGCTTTCTAAGCCCTCAGGTATGTGTTGTTTTCAAAGAAAGGGCACCATTAAATGACCACCTTCAGAAAACACCTGGAACGGCCAGTAATGGCAGCAAATGGGAGAATAAACACAACAGCAACAGAGACAGAGTGTGTGTGATATCTACTGTAAGCTATTTATTATCCTTTGTTTAGTCTTAGTTTGACTTCTACTCTATTCTAGATGAACACAAACGCGAAATCTGACTTTCTGACTTCTGGATCCCAATTTTAGGATTTCTTCTGATACCACTCAGATTTACATGAAAATGTATTTTTGATCTTGAAAACTTTTTAAGTTCAAAGTCCACTTAGTAGCTTTTTCTAGAGATTTCAGCCATCTTATTATTACGTTTTTTACTTTTTTAAAAGACAGTTCCAGTTTTTGTACAACTTGGCTGTTATTTTTGCAGTTTTGGGTTATGGTTTCCATCAGCCATGATATCAATGTTACCAAAATATTGAATAAAATCTAAGAACTTAGAAAAAGTGTAACAACAGAGTCCAACATGGTAGAAAACACAAGCCGTTTATACAGGTTGTAAACAAACAGTTTATAGGTAGATTAGCACAACGACAAGTAGTGGTCAATTTTACATTAGATTTATTTTCCAAATGCTCTTGTCCAAAGTAGGCTGCAAACAGAGCACTCAAACTCAAAAGGATGGGTGTTATTGATTAACATTTTAATTAAAAAGGTTAACAACTAAGAAGCAAGTTAAGCTAATTTTGGAAGTCTGTTAGAAACCTGTGTGACCATGTGACCACTCGTGTTTCTCACCCTGTTGGACTTCTCTTTGGTGATATTGTGGAAGTATCCTTTAATATTTTACAAGCACCTGTTTCTCAGCACTCTCAGCTCGCTGGTCAGACTCGATCACCCTCTGCTCCAGCTCCTGCAT